TTTAATGTGACAGGGAAGACTCTATACAATCCAATAATAACAATAACAACCATAATAGTCTCAATGGGAGAGAGCGACAATGATGAAAAGGCGAAAGGACTTGTGAAGACTCCATTTCCCAGGGTGCTTTGCCCTTTTGTGTATTTTTTGGGCCCATTTTTCCTTGGACTCCGCTCCGGGCTGCAGTCCGAACTGTGAAAGCGGGCGAGAGGAGTCCCTGTCCCTTGCCTCGCGCGCGGTGGCTGACGGGAGCCGGGGCCCAGTGGGCGGGGAAGGGGGCGTGGCTGCTGCAGCGACGAATGACGCGTGCGCATTCCCCTAGACCACGCCCCTTTCCCCCTCCCGTCATGCTCCACGCGCGACAAGATGGCGGCTCCTGAGGAGAAAGAGCGGCTGGCTCCGGTCCTGAGGCGCGGAAGGTGAGGAAACGAAGGAGGGGAGGCCTTATTCTCTCTTTCCGGCCTTGGCTGGGCCTTCACCCACCCCGTCCTTCCTTCTCCTTTCTCTCCCGGGCAGCCGCCTCCTGCCTCCTCCGCCTTCTCCCTCTCCTTCTCCTCGGAAGCGGACGACGAGCCAGTCCAAGACGGAGCCGCCGCTGCTGCGCACGCGCAAGAGGACCATCTACACCGCCGGAAGGCCCCCCTGGTACGACGAGGCCGGAACCCCCTCCAAGGAGGCCTTCGTCATCGGTGAGCCCTGACTACAACTCCCACTATCCCCCACCACCGCTAGGCTCCTGGGAAGTGTGGGACTTGGAGTTCAAAGCACATGCAGGGAGGGAGGGAGGGAGGGCCCAAGCTGGGCCCAAGCTGGGCCATGTCTGAGCTTCCAAAGAGGGGAGAAATCATCATCATCATCATCACAATAATAATAATAATAATAAATCATCTTGTTGTGTTCTGGGAAGTGTGGGACTTGGAGTCCAAAACACCTGCAAGGAGGGAGGGAGGGCCCAAGCTGGCCCAGGTCTGCACTTCCAAAGAGGGGAGAAATCGTCATCATCACAATAATAATAATAATAATATAATAATAAATCATCTTGTTGTGTTCTGGGAAGTGTGGGACTTGGAGTCCAAAACACCTGCAAGGAGGGAGGAGGGTCGAGCTGGCCCAGGTCTGAGCTTCCAAAGAAGGGAGGAATAACAACAACAACAACAACAACAATAATAATAATAATAATAAATCATCTTGTTGTGTTCTGGGAAGTGTGGGACTTGGAGTCCAAAACACCTGCAAGGAGGGAGGAGGGTCGAGCTGGCCCAGGTCTGAGCTTCCAAAGAAGGGAGGAATAATAACAACAACAATAATAATAATAATAATAAATAATCTTGTTGTGTTTTGGGAAGTGTGGGACTTGGAGTCCAAAACACATGCAAGTAGGGAGGGAGGGAGGGCCCAAGCTGGCCCAGGTCTGAGCTTCCAAAGAAGGGAGAAATAATAACAACAACAACAATAATAATAATAATAAATAATCTTGTTGTGTTCTTGGAAGTGTGGGACTTGGAGTCCAAAACACCTGCAGGGAGGGAGGGAGGGAGGGCCCAAGCTGGCCCAGGTCTGAGCTTCCAAAGAAGGGAGAAATAATAACAACAATAATAATAATAATAAATAATCTTGTCATCGGTGAGCCCTGACTACAACTCCCACTATCCCCCACCACCGCTAGGCTCCTGGGAAGTGTGGGACTTGGAGTTCAAAGCACATGCAGGGAGGGAGGGAGAGAGGGAGGGCCCAAGCTGGCCTAGGCTGTGCTTCCAAAGAGGGGAGAAATCATCATCATAACAACAATAACAACAACAACAACAATCAATAATAATAATAATAATAAGACTGGCACAACAGGCCAGTAAAGGTGGTCCCAGTGGTGATTGGCACACTGGGTGCATCACAGTCCTAGACACTTGATATTTTTACATTAAAAGACTCTAAATTACAACAGCAAAACAACAGTGAGAGTTAAATCCAATCAGTGCACTTCAAATATCACTCGGTTCAGTCACGAGTAAAACGATGAATGTCGCCACCCCCATGCTCCAGCCAGTTTGTCAATTATACTCGGCTTAAATTTGAATTGGCTGGTCAGTTGAAATATTCCCACCTAGCTCCAGCAGACAAGAGTCCTTTGTCCCACCCTGGACATCATTCCACAGATATATAAACCCATTTTCCTAATTCCAACAGACCTCACTACCTCTGAGGATGCTTGCCATAGATGCAGGAGAAACGTCAGGAGAAAAATTGCCTCCAGAACATGGCCATATAGCCCAGAAAAACCTACAACAACCCAAAGTTTTATTATTATTATTAATAATAATAAATGAATGCAATATTCCTGCTTCTTGGAAGAATGGGGTTGGACTGGATGGCCCATGAGGTCTCTTCCAACTCTTTGATTCTATGATTCTATGATTATTATTATTAAATAAAGATTATTATTATTGTCAAGGCTTTCATGGCCGGAATCACTCAGTTCTTGTGGGTTTTTTCGGGCTATATGGCCATGTTCCAGAGGTTATTATTATTATTATTATTATTATTATTATTATTATTATTATCGGTGAGCCCGCCCAGGCCTCACCCCCAGGGCTTGATGGGCACACTGGGTGCAGTTCCTAAAGACCTTGGCCTGCACTTAAACACAATCGGCACTGACAAGATTACCATCTGCCAGCTACAGATCATAATAATAATAGAACGGCAAAGACTCTGGCACAAGCCAGTCAAAGGGGTCCCAGTGGTGATCAGCATACTAGGTGTAGTGCCTAAAGACCTTGGCCTGCACTTAAAAACAATTGGCACTGACAAGATTACCATCTCCCAGCTACAAATAATAATAATAATAATAATAATAATAATAATAACTACAAAGACTCAAAGACTCTGGCACAAGCCCAGGCCCGTGGGTGCCCAACTACAACTCACCGCTGCTAGGCTCCTGGGAAGTGTGGGACTTGGAGTCCAAAACACCTGCAGGGAGGGAGGGAGAGAGGGAGGGCCCAAGCTGGCCTAGGCTGTGCTTCCAAAGAGGGGAGAAATCATCATCATAACAATAATAATAATAATAAATAATCTTGTTGTGTTCTTGGAAGTGTGGGACTTGGAGTCCAAAACACCTGCAGGGAGGGAGGGAGGGAGGGAGGGAGGGAGGGAGAGAGGGAGGGCCCAAGCTGGCCTAGGCTGTGCTTCCAAAGAGGGGAGAAATCATCATCATAACAATAATAATAATAATAAATAATCTTGTTGTGTTCTTGGAAGTGTGGGACTTGGAGTCCAAAACACCTGCAGGGAGGGAGGGAGGGAGGGCCCAAGCTGGCCCAGGTCTGAGCTTCCAAAGAAGGGAGAAATAATAACAACAACAACAATAATAATAATAATAATAATAAATAATCTTGTTGTGTTTTGGGAAGTGTGGGACTTGGAGTCCAAAACACATCCAAGGACGGAGGGAGGGAGGGAGGGCCCAAGCTGGCCTAGGCTGTGCTTCCAAAGAGGGGAGAAATCATAATAATAATAAGTTCTTGTGGGTTTTTCCGGGCTATATTTCCATATTCTAGAGGCATTCTCTCCTGACGTTTCGCCTGCATCTATGGCAAGCATCCTCAGAGGTAGTGAGGTCTGTTGGAATTAGGACAATGGGTTTATATATCTATGGAATATATCTGTCCTAATTCCAACAGACCTCACTACCTCTGAGGATGCTTGCCATAGATGCAGGCGAAACGTCAGGAGAAATGCCTCTAGAACATGGCTCTATAGCCCGAAAAAACCCACAAGAACCTAGTTATTCCAGCCATGAAAGCCTTCGACAATACATAATAATAATAATAATAATAATAATAATAATAATAATAATAATAATAATAATTGATGGGCACACTGGGTGCAGTGCCTCAAGACCTTGGCCTGCACTTAAAAACAATCGGCACTGACAAGATTACCATCTGCCAGCTGCAGATCATAATAATAATAATAATAATAAAAATAATTATAGAACTGCAAAGACTCAAAGACTCTGGCACAAGCCCAGGCCCGTGGGTGCCCGACTACAACTCCCACAATCCCTCACCCCTGCTAGGCTCTTGGGAAGTGTGGGACTTGGTCCAAAACACCTGGAGGAGGGAGAGAGGGCCCAAGCTGGGCCAGTCAGTATAATAATAATAATAATAATAATAATAATAATAATAATTGATGGGCACACTGGGTGCAGTGCCTCAAGACCTTGGCCTGCACTTAAAAACAATCGGCACTGACAAGATTACCATCTGCCAGCTGCAGATCATAATAATAATAATAATAAAAATAATTATAGAACTGCAAAGACTCAAAGACTCTGGCACAAGCCCAGGCCCGTGGGTGCCCGACTACAACTCCCACAATCCCTCACCCCTGCTAGGCTCTTGGGAAGTGTGGGGCTTGTAGTCCAAAACACATGCAAGGAAGGGAGGGAGGGGGGCCGAGCTGGCCCAGGCTGTGCTTCCAAAGAGGGGAGAAATAATAATAATAATAATAATAATAATAATAGACTGGCACAAGCCAATCAAGGCGGTCCCAGTGGTGATGGGCACACTGAGTGCAGTGTCTCAAGCCCTTGACCTGCACTTAAACACAATCAGCACTGACAAGATTACTATCTGCAAGCTGCAGATCATAATAATAATAATAATAATAATACTGCAAAGACTCTGGCACAAGCCAGTTAAGGGGGTCCCAGTGGTGATGGGCACACTGGGTGCAGTGCCTCAAGACCTTGACCAGCACTTGAACACATGATGCTTTGAAGTCCAAGTCCCAGACTTCCCAGGAGGCTCACAGGCAGCCACGCCCACGATCCCCCACCCCTGCCTGCGAGCCTCCTGGGAAGTCTGGGACTTGGACTTCAAAGCATCATGCAAGGAGGGAGGGAGAGAGGGAGGGCCCAAGCTGGCCCAGGCTGTGCTTCCAAAGAGGGGAGAAATAATAATAATAATAATAATAATAATAATAATAATAATAAATCTTGTTGTGTTTTGGGAAGTATGGGACTTGGAGTCCAAAACACCTACAAGGAGGGAGGAGGGTCAAGCTGGCCCAGGCTGTGCTTCCAAAGAGGGGAGAAATAATAATAATAATAATAATAATAATAATAATAATAATAAATCTTGTTGTGTTTTGGGAAGTATGGGACTTGGAGTCCAAAACACCTACAAGGAGGGAGGAGGGTCAAGCTGGCCCAGGCTGTGCTTCCAAAGAGGGGAGAAATAATAATAATAATAATAATAATAATAATAATAATAATAAATCTTGTTGTGTTTTGGGAAGTATGGGACTTGGAGTCCAAAACACCTACAAGGAGGGAGGAGGGTCAAGCTGGCCCAGGCTGTGCTTCCAAAGAGGGGAGAAATAATAATAATAATAATAAATAATCTTATGTTTTGGGAAGTGTGGGACTTGGAGTCCAAAACACATACAAGAAGGGAGGAGGGCCGAGCTGGCCCAGGCTGTGCTTCAAAGGGGAGAAATAATAATAAGAATAATAATAAGAATAAGAATAACAATAATCTATATAAATATAGGACTTGGAGTCCAAAACACCTGCAGGGAGGCAGGGAGAGAGGGAGGGCCCAAACTGGGCCATGTCTGAGCTTCCAAAGAGGGGAGAAATAATAATAATAATAATAATAATAATAATAATAATAATAATCTATATAAATAAAATGTAATGTCTGTTTGTGGGATTAACAGAACTCAAAAACTCCCTGCAAGCGTATCATGAGTCCAAAACTCCACTCTTCCCTTGAGAAAAGGAGCCCAAAGTGTGCAGAACACTCTCCATGGTGCACGATCTCTCTCCTTCCCAATGAAGCAGAGCATAGCGTGTGAACAGCGTCTCTGTCACAAGTTTTGGAATGTTAGAAGATCTCTTATATAACAATATTTCTTCGGATGCTGTCCCAAAGTTGTAAATTCCTGACAGGTTATTTGGCCAACTAAAACATCCGTGCTCCGTCTCAGTTTCCTGGACCGATGTTGACTCTTCTTGGTTGGTGTTGATAACGCAAAGCTTGTGTTGACTTCCTTCTTAACATTGTAAACATTTCCTTAACTTAAAGAGCTGTTGTATTGTTGAAGGCTTTCATGGCCGGAATCACTGGGTTGTTGTAGGTTTTTTTGGGCTATATAGCCATGTTCTAGAGGCATTCTCTCCTGACATTTCGCCTGCATCTATGGCAAGCTTCCTCAGAGGTAGTGAGGTCACTACCTCTGAGGATGCTTGCCATAGATGCAGGCAAAACGTCAAGAGAGAATGCCTCTAGAACAGTGGTTCTCAACCTGTGGGTCCCTGGGTATTTTGGCCTACAACTCCCAGAAATCGCTGTCAGTTTACCAGCTGTTAGGGTTTCTGGGAGTTGAAGGCCAAAACATCTGGAGGGACACAGGTTGAGAACCACTGCTCTAGAACATGGCCACATAGCCCGAAAAAACCTACAACAACCTTAAAGGGCTGTTGTCTCTGATTAATGTAAACATGTTTTTTCCCCAAAAAATTCAACAGTTAATCATCTGTCACAGTTCTTATCAATGTTCGCAGTTTACTATGGCAGGTCAACCATTTCAGTTCTCATTAGCAACTTTTAATTACAGTTCAAGCAAGCAGGTAGTTAGTCATTGCAGTCCTTAATATTTTAGAACGGTGTCTCCAAAATTATTAGCTCACATTAATTCATCTTTCATACAATTCCATTCAAACCGTATATCTTATCCACATTTATCAAATCTGCACATCCTATTTTAATGTGACATCTGTTCAGAAGGGTAAATATTGCACCTGCCCATTCCTTCCTCCCCCCATCCAGGCTTGTGTGGGGGCAGCGCGTCTGGCAAGACCACGGTGGCCAACAAGATTATTGAGGCGCTGGACGTTCCCTGGGTGGTGCTCCTGTCCATGGACAGCTTCTACAAGGTGGGGCCAGGGTTGCCGTCCACTCCCAGGGAGATGCAGTGGGGTGGGGTGGGGTGCAGTGGCTATCCTGAGCAGGCCCCTTCCCACCGGTCCCTGGGGACTCTCTTCATCCTTTCTTCCCCCCTCCCAAATTCCTCCCAGGTGCTGAACAAAGAGCAGCAGGAGGCGGCCGCTCGCAACGAGTACAACTTTGACCACCCAGATGCCTTTGACTTTGACCTCCTGATCAGCGTCCTGCGGAGGCTCAAGGAGGGCAAGAGCGTCAAAGTCCCCGTCTACGACTTCACGACACACAGCCGGCGCAAGGAGTGGGTGCGTCGGGGGGCAACCAGGGGGCAAAGGGGGGCTGCTTGCATTCATATAAGGGGTTTGTTCCTAGGAAGCCCAAAGGGAACTGGCCTTTCCTGGCCTCCCCAGAAAATCACAACTGGACCAGGAGGAAGGGCTCAGTGACTGCGTGGGCACCTGGAGTCTGCTTTAGTTAGAGCTCACCTGGGAATGATGCTGTGCCCAGTTCTGGGCAAAGCACTTCAAGATAGGGATCTTCTTAGGAAGGCGGAAGGCATCCTCTGAAGCTTCAGGCTCCTGCCAGCACCAGCCACGCTCACACGATTCCCTGAAGGGAGAAGGTCTAGGCAGGAATCCACAACTAAAGCTTGCTCCGTCTTCCTCTCCTTCCACTGCTTAAAGGGCTTTGGGGGGGGGGGGGGGGGGGGGGGGGGGGGGGGGTTGCGCATTTCACCTCTGTTGAAGGGCCTCCAAAGAAAAGAAATCTTCAATAACAACAACAACAACAACACTTTGTTTATATTCTGCCCTATCTATCTCCCTGGGGAGACTCAACATTCAATAAGGCAAACCTTCAATACCTCACGAAAACAAACAAGTACAGATATAATACTCTTGAATAAGCCTGCCTGTTGCAACTCAGGGTAGTTTTCACCTTGCTCCAGACACCACCACACCAAAGCTGTAGGCTTTGTAGTTTATTGAGGAAAAGGCAAAATCAAAACAGAGTATATGAAATGCATAAAATCCATGGGCAGATCAAAGGCTTGAATGCAAGGACACAGTTCCCAAGATCCAAAGGCAAAAACCTGAAGCATAATCCTTTAGCAACGGTCAAACAAGAGTCCATGGAAAGCAGTTGAAAACAAGGCCCAAATCCCAGACTCAGGAAGCCAGAAGCGTGCTGCTAAAAGCCAAAGTTAATCCACAGAAGTTTGCATGAGAAGAGCTACGTTGGACTGACAGCCCCTGCTTGTCAGCTACAAGGCTAAATACCCTTTGCAGACATGAACGCATTGCTTTGACCTTTGGCCTCCTTGGCTTCTCGTTTGCTGGCCAAGCGAGAGCATCTCTGGAGCCTTAATTGTAGACCAGTGGTTCTCAACCTGGGGCCCCCAGATGTTTTTGGCCTACAATTCCCAGAAATCCCAGCCAGTTTACCAGCTGTCAGGATTTCTGGGAGTTGAAGGCCAAAAACATCTGGGGACCCCAGGTTGAGAACCACTGTTGTTGACGATCTTGTCTGCTCATTAATATATTATCTTCAAGGCTATGTAACCCCTTATCTTGGTCCAGCTGTGGGGAGGAAAAGACATCTCCACCTTGCCGTGTGGGAACTCACTCTCGTTATCAGTCTCACTAACATTCTTTTCCCCTGGGAACTGACTTGCTGTTTCCCCTTCAGCAGCCCCACCATCAGGCCTGTCTGAAACATGTACAGAAATCTGTAACCCATCATCTCCCTCATCATCCTGTAGGAATTCTGGCTCACAGAGCTCAGCTTCAGACTCAAGAGTCAAGCTGAATCACAACACCTCCTATGAAAACAACATTAAAGCCTAACATCAATAAATTAAACAAAACATAAACAAAAATTGTATAATGACATAAATTATATAGCGACAAGGCAGTCCATAGAATCATAGTTCTGTCTTCTACTCTTAAGCTGCTCTTATTGTAAAAAAGTAGCTACTCATAATGTTTACAAGGAATCCTTTTTTTGTATTGTCGAAGGCTTTCATGGCCAGAATCACTGGGTTGTTGTAGTTTTTTCAGGCTATATGGCCATGTTCTAGAGGCATTTTCTCCTGATGTTTCGCCTTCATCTATGGCAAGCATCCTCAGAGGTAGCGAGGTCTGTTGGAACAAGGAAGAAGGGTTTATATATCTGTGGAATGACCAGGGTGGGACAAAGAACTCTTGTCTGCTGGAGGTGATGAACCAACCTGGACACAGCATATTATTTGAGAACACAGAAATGCTGGACCACTCTCACAACCACCATGTCAGACTACACAGAGAAGCCATTGAAATCCACAAGAAGCATGTGGACAATTTCAACAGAAAGGAGGAAACCATGAAAATGAACAAAATCTGGCTACCAGTATTAAAAAAAACCTCTAAAATTGCAACAGCACAACAACAGAGAGGAAACAAACAAGGACATCTAATCACCTCTCAACAAAAGTTTGCCCCAGGCACAGTCAGGCCATTGTATGCTATTCAAGGTGGTCAGTTGAAACATTCACACCTAGCTCCAGCAGACAAGAGTCCTTTGTCCCACCCTGGTCATTCCACAGATATATAAACCCATTTTCCTAGTTCCAACAGACCTCACTACCTCTGAGGATGCTTGCCATAGATGCAGGCGAAACGTCAGGAGAGAATGCCTCTAGAACATGGCCATATAGCCCAAAAAACCCTACAACAACCCAATCCTTTTTTTCCTTCTAAATTGACTCCACTGCTTTCTTTCCTGGTTTCTGGACCAGCACAAAACAAGCTCCTTCCACTTTTGTCACCCTTCAGATACTTAAGGGTTGTGCCATTTGTGGAGAGACAAAGGGGCAGCCCGCCTCTCTTGAGCCTGGCCTCTCTGGGGGGCTGTGTGTGTTCCTTTTGGGGGATGGGGAGGACCTCTCCAAGGTGCTGATTCTTCCATTCCTCTCTCCTTTCCCAGAAAATCATCTACGGGGCCAACGTCATTGTCTTTGAAGGGATCCTGGCCTTTGCCAACAAGGAGCTCCTGCAGGTATGGAGCAGGCAAAGCGGGGGAGCCTCGTGCTTGGAGAAGGGCTTGGCAGGGCGAACCCTTTCCTATGCCTCCCCCCCCCCCCGCCTTCAGGGGAATCTTGCGTTTTGGCTGGATTTGGGGTTGGGAGGGGGGGTTGTTTCAGGCTCAGGCCACTCTGGAGGACCCCCCCCCACCCCGCCCCATTCTCTCCCTCATAATTACACTTTTTCTATTCCTATCTCACCCAGGGTTTTAACATTTTATCTTGTGCACCCAGCCTGCCCTTTGTGTTTGATTTTTATTATGTTATTCTGCACTGTTTATTTTGTTATTTTATGTATTTTGTCACGATATAGTTTTTCTGTTGTTTTGTGTCTAATTATGCTGTATTATTTTTGGGCTCACCCTCATGTTAGCCGCCCTGAGTCCCCTTCGGGGAGATTGTGGTGGGTTATAAATAAAGTTTATCATTATTATTATTTATTAATTATTGCCTGGCAGCTCCTGGACATGAAGGTGTTTGTGGACACCGACTCGGACATCCGCTTGGTGCGGCGGCTGAAGCGGGACATCATGGAGCGTGGCCGGGACGTGGCCGGTGTCATCAAGCAGTACAGCATGTTTGTGAAGCCCTCCTTTGAGCAGTACATCGAGCCCACAGTGCAGGCAGCAGACATTGTAGTGCCCAGAGGTGAGTGGAAGAACGGAAGGGTCAGGCAGGAGGGTCACTGCCTCTGTGAGGCAGGAAGAAGGGCTGTGTCTTGGGGGGGGGGGGGATGATGATGATGCGCACATGTCTGTCTTTCTGAGCTGCAAGGAAAACCAGTTTGGATCAAAAGGGAAGGTTGAACTCAGCCCCTGTTGCTTGCCTTTGCTTTGGGTTGGCCAGCAGTGACTGTGTGCCTTGTGGCTGGCCTTTGACAAGAGGTGCGTGGAAGGATTGAGCTGGGCAGGACCTCCAGGGTGCAGCCCTCTGCCACCCAGGAACATGCAGCTAAAGAACTAGGGAGGTTGGGTGGGATGAGGGGGGTGAATATGAGTTTTAAAGGCCATTTGAGTGTATTTGCTGTATTTTAATTCTGGTTTTATCACACTGTCACTAATTATTTATCTTTTCAACTTGTTTAGTGTGGAATGTTAGATGGCTTGAGTCCCCACATGGAGAAATATATAATGTAATATAATATATTGTATTTTCATATAATTTTTATAATATTATAATGTAATGCAATATAATAATAATAAGATATTATAGTTATATATTCATATTACATGTAATATTACTAACAATATTACAATATAATGGTATAGTACAATATAGTAATATATAATATTGATATTGTACTATTTTTTTATTTATGTCTCGTGTCAGGGCAGCCAGTCAATTATATTACATTTCTAACAGAACAAAACAAACAAACAGAGAAAATACAAAATTTGTGAGTTTGGTAGTTGATTAAATGTCCTTTGACCAGTATCTGGCCACTTGGAGTGCCTCTGGTGTTGCCGCAAGAAGGTCCTCCATTGTGCATGTGGCAGGGCTCAGGTTGCATTGCAGCAGGTGGTCAGTGGTTTGCTCCTCTCCACACTCGCATGTCGAGGATTCCACTTTGTAGCCCCATTTCTTGAGGTTGGCTCTGCATCTTGTGGTGCCAGAGCGCAGTCTGTTCAGCGCCTTCCAAGTTGCCCAGTCCTCTGTGTGCCCAGGGGGGAGTCTCTCATTTGGTATCAGCCATTGGTTGAGGTTCTGGGTTTGAGCCTGCCACTTTTGGACTCTCGCTTGCTGAGGTGTTCCAGCGAGTGTCTCTGTAGATCTTAGAAAACTATGTCTAGCTTTAAGTCGTTGACGTGCTGGCTGATACCCAAACAGGGATGAGCTGGAGATGTCTCTGCCTTGGTCCTTTCACTATTGGCTGCTACTTCCCGGCGGATGTCAGGTGGTGCAATACCGGCTAAGCAGTGTAATTTCTCCAGTGGTGTAGGGCGCAGACACCCCGTGATAATGCGGCATGTCTCATTAAGAGCCACATCCACTGTTTTAGCGTGGTGAGATGTGTTCCACACTGGGCATGCAGATCCGGCAGCAGAGTAGCACAGCACAAGGGCAGATGTCTTCACTGTATCTTGTATTTTGTAGTATTTTGTACTATGCTAATAATATAATCTATTGTATGCACATACACCTTGTAAGCCGCTCTGAGTCCCCTTCGGGGTGAGAAGGGCGGCATAGTGCCGTAAATAAATAACTAAATAAATTGGCATCAAATTGGTGCCGATTGTAAGCCGCCCTGAGCGCCCCCCCCCCCCTCGGGGACTGAGAAGGACTAATGGAAAAATATTTGCATGATACTGATAGTCGTTACAACATCAGATCAATGCTGGCTTATCAGTTGCCTTACAACACACAGCAAAGGAAGCTTAGGGACCAGAGCTAGGTAGAAATGCCTGGGGGTTAAGAAAAGGTTTGAGAACAACAAAAGGCCTGTCCTGAGTTGCCCTCCAAAAACAGCCTTTAGACAGTGTTGCAAGTAAAAGAAAAATAATTTACTTCAGCAAACACAAAGAATAAGCAAATGCCATTGAAAAGTGCAAAAGAAAACAAGGGTTTTCTTTTGCACGGAATAGAGCACGGGGAGCAGGACTTCCCTAGATCTAGACACTATGCTCCTATTGATGTAGGCCAAAATCCCATTGGCTTTTTTTGCCGCCACATCACATTCCTGGCTCATGTTTAACTTGCTGTCCACAAGGACTCCAAGATCTTTTCCACACGTCCTGCTCTCAAGCCAAGCCTCCCCCATTCTGTATCTTTGCATTTCGTTTTTCCTGCCTAAGTGGAGTATCTTGCATTTGTCCCTGTTGAACTTCATTTTGTGAGTTTTGGCCCATCATCTCTCTCATCTGTCAAGATCCCTTTGAGTCCTGCTCCTGTCCTCTGGAGTATTGGCTTTCCCTCCCCATTTGGTGTCATCTGGTAATCCCACAAACAAACATTACATTTTTATTAATATAGACTAGCCGTTCCCTGCCACACGTTGCTCTGGCCCACATGGGGGTTCTGTGTGGGAGGTTTGGCCCAATTCTATTGTTGGTGGGGTTCAGAATGCTCTGTGATTGTAGGTGAACTATAAATCCCAGCAACTACAACTCCCCAATGTCAAGATTCTATTTTCCCCAAACTCCACCAGTGTTCACATTTGGGCATATTGAGTATTCGTGTAGAGTTTGGTCCAGACCCATCATGGTTTGAGTCCAGAGTGATCTCTGGTTGTAGGTGAACTACAACTCCAAAACCAAATGGCACTGCCCACCAAACCCTTCCAGTATTTTCTGTTGGTTGTGGGAGAACTGTGTGCCAAATTTGGTTCAATTCCATCGTTGATGGGGTTGAGAATGCTCTTTGATTGTAGGTGAACTATAAATCTACAACTCCCAAATGACAAATGAACTCCCAAATGACAAAATCATTTTTTGAGTGAAGGATATACATGGGGTTGTTAGGTGTCTTGTGTCCAAATTGGGTGTCAATTTGTCCAGTGGTTTTTGAGTTCCGTTAATCCCACAAACAATATAAGAACTGTAAATAAATAAACAAACATTTCATTTTTATTTATATAGATTTATATACTGCATTTCTCAGCCAAGGGGCGACTCTGGGTGGTTAACAATTGGCAACAATTCGATGCCACAACAATTATAACAATTAAAACAATAATAAAATAGTGTTAAAAACATTACGCTTATTATGTTTTAATGTCCAACTTATATTTTAATGTGTGGTATGCTTTAAGGCAGGCTAGAAATATTTCTCTTGAATGGTGCTGCCTGGATCTGGAGGCAGTTCCACTTCATTCTGGTTTGGATTGTATTCTGACTTAAGAGTTTCTACCGTGACAGATTGCATCCTTCATTCTTCAAGTTTTGAATGTGCTTGTTTCCCCCTTTTGCTTCAGAGTTTCTGTCAGCAGACAAGATGTCCTCAGAATGCAAACTGTGAACAGTTTGTCTTCCGTGGCATCTTGTGAATTTGGAAAAAAAAAAGGTTGGAGTGAACATTCCCTCCAAATGCGGCATTGTGATCGGTTCTATCAAATGCTGTCTGATGCCAAATGTTGGAAAACAGTCCCTCTGTTTAAGTATGACAGTCATCGTGTCAGGTGGACCATTCCATTATTTTTTTGCTGTAGTGCTTAGAATCCTAGAGTCCTAGAGTTGGAAGAGATCCAGTGGGCCATCCAGTCCAACCCCATTCTGCCAGGAAGCAGGACAATCACATTCAAAGCACCTCTGACAGATGGCCATCCAGCCTCTGTTTAAAAGCTTCCAAAGAAGGAGCCTCCACCACACTCCTGGGCAGAGAGTTCCACTGCTGAACGGCTCTCACAGTCAGGAAGTTCTTCCTCAGGTTCAGATGGAATCTCCTCTCTTGTAGTTTGAAGCCATTGTTCCATTGTGTCCTAGTCTCCAGGGAAGCAGAAAGGAAGCTTGCTCCCTCCTCCTCCCTGTGGCTTCCTCTCACATATTTATACATGGCTATCATGTCCCCTCTGAGCCTTCTCTTCTTCATAGAATCAAAGAATGATAGAATCCTAGAGTTGGAAGAGACCTCATGGGCCATCCAGTCCAACCCCATTCTGCCTTGAAGCAGGACAGTCACATTCAAAGCACCTCTAACAGATGGCCATCCAGCCTCTGTTTAAAAGCTTCCAAAGAGCCTCCACCACACTCCGGGGCAGAGAGTTCCACTGCTGAACGGCTCTCACAGTCAGGAAGTTCTTCCTAATGTTCAGATGGAATCTCCTCTCTTGTAGTTTGAAGCCATTGTTCCTTGCGTCCTAGTCTCCAGGGAAGCAGAAAACAAGCTTGCTCCCTCCTCCCTGTGGCTTCCTCTGACATATTTATTATACATGGCTATCATATCTCCTCTCAGCCTTCTCTTCTTCATAGAATCATAGAATGATAGAATCCTAGAGTTGGAAGAGACCTCCTGGGCCATCCAATCCAACCCCATTCTGCCAAGAAGCAGGAATATTACATTCAAAGCACCCCAGGCTAAACATGCCCAGCTCTTTAAACGGTTTTGGCCCAGTTTACTTGTCTGAACGTATCTCCCACTGCGCTCCACCTCGGGCCCTAAGATAATCTGAGGAGACCCTGCTCGCTGTCCCCCCATTGTCGTCATCGCATTTGGTGGGGACAAGGGACAGAGCCTTTTCTGTGGTGGCCCCTCAGCTATGGAAATTAGATCAGCTGCATCCCTCTTGTCCTTCCGGAAACAAGTCAAATCCTGGCTATGGAATCAGACTTTTGGCGAGTAGGCTGACTTGCTAACGTGCTGACCTATATAGAACGGATGGACTGCCCCTGGATAATGTTTAACTCGGTGACCGCTGACTGTTGCCTGTTGTTATACTGCTTTTATATTGTTTATATGGTTCTATACTGTTTATACTGCTTATATTGCTGTTTTATTATATTGTTGTTAAATTGTAGATTCATGTTTTGATGTGGGTGCCATGGGTGCCGTCCTGAGTCCCTCTGCGAAGGTTGAGATAGGATGGGATAGAAAAGCCCTAAATAAATAAATAAATAATAAACCGCTCCTCATGGGGCTTGTTCTCCAGACCCTTTAACATTTTAGTTGCCCTCCTCTGAATCCTAGAATCAAAGAGTTGGAAGAGACCTCCTGGGCCATCATCCAGTCCAACCTCCTGCCAAGAAGCAGGAATACTGCATTCAAAGCACCCCTGAAAGATGGCCGTCCAGCCTCTGTTTAAAGGCTTCCAAAGAAGGAGCCTCCACCACACTCCGGGGCAGAGAGTTCCACTGCTGAACGGCTCTCACAGTCAGGAAGTTCTTCCTCATGTTGAGATGGACACATTCCAGCTTAGAGTCAACATCTCCCTTCAATTGTAATCCACTCTTTACCTAAAGATCTCAGGGGAAGTGCATTACATTGCCTTTTAGGAAGGAAAAAGTTAAGCAGTTTAGATGCATCTTGTGTCGTTAGACATGTTCAAACGGCATGGATGTGGGAAATTGGGCCCATCAGCCAGCGGGGCTTGTGAGGGAGCAGATGGGCCCCGTCTGTTCTCTGTCTCCCGGGCTGAGGAGCGTTGGCGTTGCGGAGGAGGAGGCGCCAGCAGGGAAAGGCTGCGCGCACAGCTTGCCTCTGTCACAAACAACACCCACAAACGGAGAGGGAGCCCAGGCAGAAGCCTCCCTCCAGGACGGCGAACTTGGGACTCCCAAGGGCCATCTAGTCCAACCCCCTTCTGCCACCCTAGGATTACTTACTTACTTAGGCAATACCTCGTAGTCCAAGGATGATGGTCCTCCAGGGTGGGTTCATAGGTGACTGTGAAGCCCTATTCTTTTTTTTAAAGTAATTTTTATTAAGTATTTTATATAGTTACAAGGAAAGTGGGAGAATATTTGCAAGGAGATAGAAAAGTAGGAAATAGTAACATAAAATAAAGAGAAAAAAGAAAAAAGGGGCAGTATATGTATACTTAAGAGTTAAGTTAAAATATATATATTCAAAAAGTAAAAATAAAAATAAAAAAAATAAAAAGTGAAAAATCCTCTGGACTTCCTAGGTATCGTGATGGAGGTGTCTTCCTTTTCTCTTTCTTCTATTTTTCTTTATTTGAAAAACTCTCTCTCCTTCTATCATATGAGGTTTTGTTTCAGTTATTTTAGATTATTGTCTTATAATTCTTCCCTTTTAAATAGTCTGTTACTTTCGTCCAGTTTGTTTGTTTTATCGGAGTGCCTTTGTATCCAGATAGTAGATATGTAAGTCTGCCCATGTTTCTAATGTCAAGTACTTTTTGTTACCAATCTTCTATTTCTGGTATTTTCTCTAGTTTCCATAATTTAGCATAGCAAATTCTCGCCGCTGTCATTAGCAAAAACAATAATTGGTCCGTATTTTTTTCCGTTTTTGGTTTCGTCATGCCCAGCAAGAATAATTCCGGTATTAATTCCTCTGCAGCAGAGTAGCATAGCACAAGGACAGATGTCTTCGCTGTGTCTGGTTGTGACCCCCAGGTTGTGCCAGTCAGCTTTCGTATGATATTGTTTCTAGCACCCACTTTTTGCTTGGTATTCAGGCAGTGCTTCTTGTTTCTCTCCCTTATTTGGAGTCTTTTAAGCAGAGGTTGGATAGCCATCTGTCGGGGAAGCTTTTATTGTGCCTTTCTGTGTGGCAGAAGTTGGACTGCATGGCCCCTGGGAGTCGCTTCCAACTCTAGAATCGTTTTTTGTTTTTGTTTTTGCAATTTGAATGCATTAGGTCTTTGTCCTGCTCTTGAGTAGCAGAAAACCATTTTCCGCATGGCCTCCACAGTCTGATTGTGGGTCTGAGGTCTGAGCTATGAAGGTAGAATCCAAAGCCAAAGCCACATCAGTCTGGGATGTTGGCCTGCAAAGAGATCTTGTCACACCTTGAGACTAATGGAGAGGATCTCTTTGGCAGCAGATAAAGCTCCCGCTCATCATTGCTAATTGCAAGGGGAAGAGGGTGGCACATCCTTCACCAGCTGACACGCCCCACATTTCCCCACCCACCCACAACAGTTCTGCTTGAACAAAGGAAGCTTTCAAAACAGTTTTTAAAGTAAACACTCTTGTCAAAAGCATCCCTGGTGCAAAGCAGTATTCCAAGCACAGCCAAGGGAGTAAAGGGGGGGGGGGGGTGTAAGACTGTAGGATCTATATAGCAATATTAAATAACCACTCACAAGTCGTTTTTGCTTTGAAATKGATATATTTCTTGTATCTCTGCAGCAAAGAAAGACACTACGGACTTTTCCCCACCACTACTTCCTTTTATACCCCTTTCCTGCCCATCTCCCCTTCTTCCCAGTTTCCTTATTAGAGCTTGTTGCTTCACAAGTTCCAACACAAGGCTTCCAGCACCCTCTGCTGGCTTCAAAATGTCACAGAGAGAGAATTGATTCAGCCAGGATGATTGTCAGGATGTCACGAAGGGAATTTGCGATGTCTTCATGCCGTCAGAAATTGACTCCTGACACGATTCCTCCCCTAGAAAGAAAAATACAAACACCAGCAGCATTGACCTTAACTTACTGACCGAAAGCTTGGTGGCCCAAATCTAGGGAATGGGGTGAGCTCCCGCTGTTAGTCCCAGCTTCTGCCAACCTAGCAGTTTGAAAACATGCAAATGGGAGTAGATCAATAGGTACTGCTCTGGCGGGAAGGTAATTGCGCTCCATGCAGTCATGCTGGCCACCTGACCTTGGAGGTGTCTACAGACAACGCTGGCTCTTTGGCTTCGAAATGGAGATGAGCACCAAGGTCCCAGAATCGGACATGACTGGACTTCATGTGGTGAATGAGGCTTTTTTGTGGCTTTTGGGACATAATGGAGCAGTGGACTCAAATTGCAGGGAAAGAGTTACCATCTAAACATTAGGAAGAACTTCCTGGAGGTTCCATCTGTTTGGGAGTGGAATGGCCCTTGAGTCGAGTCTTCTTCTCTGGAGATTTTGAAGCAGAGGCTAGGTGGCTTTGCTTGTGCTTGTCCTGCCTGATAGAGCAAAGGGAGTTGGGCTGGATGGCCCTCACACTCTCTTCCACCACCACCTTGGTTCTATGTATGGCTCACCTTCTTTCTCAGGGAAAGGAATGGCCACAGCAGAGGGTGTGGTGGTGTGTTGGTGGCTGTGGTGCGCTGGGCCTGAGAGCAGAACACAAGAGGAGGAAGCGTGAGGAACCAGGCCTGCTTGGTCTCCTGAAGAGAAGATGGGGGGCATGGTGGTGGTGTCATGAGGCCCTCTTTCAATAAATACCTCTGTCAGGGCTTCTGGAGAGAGGCATCGATAGGCCTCTGGTGCTCAAAGGGGAGGACCAGGTCTCCTGCTTTTGACCGATGGAGCCTTGGAAGAAGCTTCCCAACAGGGAGAGTCTGGTTCTGAAGCTGTTGAAGGTGTTGCTTAGAGAAGTGGCAGGTCTCCTTCCCTGGACGTCTCCCCAAAGCGGTTGCATAGAGCTCTGTTGCTGGAGTTAGTTGCTCTTGGGGGGAGGGAGGTGGGCCCTGTGCTGCTCAGGGGGTGGAGCTGATGGCCTCTGGGGCCCCCTTCCAGCTCTAGGCTTTTCTGGGGCAGCCAGTGCCTCTGGTTGTGAGGCTGCCTCCTTCAAGGGTGCCCCTTCCCAAAGGGGGAAATAACTCCATGGCCACCTCAACAGAATTCTACCTGTCTGCCAGACTGGCATTGTTTTGGAATCCTTGCGAGGCACCTGGTGCCCTGCCTTAGGGCACATCATGCGATTCCAGTTGCATACAGTCTCAGCCATGCCACATGACATAGGATGGCGCTTGCTTCCCTCCCTCTTTTTCTTCCAGGAGGAGAGAACTTTGTGGCCTTGGACCTGATTGTTCAGCACGTCCACAGCCAGCTGGAGAAGGTGAGCGAGGGGAGGGCTTCCTTGGCACCCCCACTGACCCCCCCCCCCCCCCCCCCCCCCCGGGCAGGGAAGGTAGGCTTGGCACCTCGGAGCCCCTAGCCTGGCTCTGGCCTCTTCCTCCTGCCTCTCTGTCTTTGGATTGGGAGGAAGCAGGCTGGGACAGGGAGAGGTGGACCCCACAGGCAGGTTGGAGCCCTGGCAGTGACTCTCTCTCCTCTTCCTTCCCACCTCCTGCCCTGCCTTCGTAATGACGTGGCTGCCTCTTGGCTGCATGGGTTCCTCCTCTGCCCCTCCTTCCTTCCTTCTCCAGCGGGAAATCACCGTCAGGTATGTTCTTCCCTTGAGGAAGAGAGACTGCATCTCCTCACTTGTTCCTCCCTCCAGGGTCTTCTTGCCAGGCCTCAGGTCAGGGCAGCAGGAGTGCAGCAGAACTGATCTGCAGGTAGAGCAAGGAACCTGGGGGCACTTGCTAGGCTGAAGGAGGGGGAGGCAGCAGGACTCTTGAGGGCCCAGCGCATTGCAACCCTTGTGTGGGAGGCTGGAGGAATGCGCTTGGTCTCCTTTGGGTCTTCCCAAAGTCTGTGTGTGTATGTAAATGTGTATGTGGAGTGGGGAGCAGTGTCATTTGTGTACACACATGTACACACAGTTGTAGGCAATTGAGGAGCAGAGGAACTCCTCTCTAATAATAATAATAATAACAACAACAACAACAACTTTATTTATACCCTGCCACCATCTCCCCAAGGGGACTCGGAGCGGCTTACATGAGGCCAGGCCCAACAACACATCAATAAAAACAACAACAATAAGCAAAACAAACAATACAATTAGTATAACTCTCTCTCCCTTTCAGTGTTCCTTCAGTGTGCCCGGGGTGTCAGGCCAGCCTTGGGCCAATTAGGGCCCAGAGGAAAAGCACATCTGACAGAAGGCAATCCAGCCTCTGGTTAAAAGCTTCCAAAGAAGGAGCCTCCACCACACTCCAGGGCAGAGAGTTCCACTGCTGAATGGCTCTCACAGTCAGGAAGTTCTTCCTCATGTTCAGATGGAATCTCCTTTCTTGTAGTTTGAAGCCATTGTTTCCCGCATCCTAGTCTCCAGGGAAGCAGAAAACAAGCTTGCTCCCTCCTCCCTGTGACTTCCTCTCACGTATTTATACATGGCTATCATATCTCCTCTCAGCCTTCTCTTCTTCAGGTGCTACCAGGCCACCCCAACTACCTTCCCCTGCTAATAATAATAATAATAATAATAATAATAATAATAATAATAATAATAATCATAACAATACTTTATTTATACCCTGCCACCATCTCCCCAAGGGGACTCGGAGCGGCTTACATGAGGCCAGGCCCAACAACACATCAATAAAAACAACAACAATAAGCAAAACAAACAATACAATTAGTATAACTCTCTCTCCCTTTCAGTGTTCCTTCAGTGTGCCCGGGGTGTCAGGCCAGCCTTGGGCCAATTAGGGCCCAGAGGAAAAGCACATCTGCCCAATTAGCCCAACCATTTGTGCTCTGCTGTAGAACCAAGGCATCCACACTCCATCATATTTGTGAAAGGTGGAGGTCAGAGTGGTCAGAGGAGGAATATAGGGTTTTTAAATCCTTGCGTGTTATTATTTATATGTGAGTTATATTAATTGTATTGTTTTATGCTTATTGTATTTTGTTTTATTGATGTATTTGTTGGGCTTGGCCTCATGTAAGCCACTCGAGTCCCCTTGAGGAGATGGTGGTGGGGTATAAATAAAGCATTATTATTATTATTATTATTATTATTATTATTATTTGATTTTAATTTTGAATTGTGTGATTTTAAGGTGATATTGACATGCTTTTAATTCTATGTTTTGATTGTTTTAAATGTCTGTTTATGTTCTATTGTGGTGGCCATAAGGAGAAAAATAAAATAATTATAATTTAAAATGAAAATAATGAGTAGTAAGGCTTACCTGTCCGTTCTTGAGGGTGGGAAGTAGAGATTTTGGTAGAAGAGAAATTTAACAGATGACTTAGAAAACTTTTAGGCTGGCTCTATCTTAAGTCAATATTTGAAGGAGCCAAGGCTAAAGGCTGAAGGCTGAGGTAGGAAACTTGGCTCATGAGTTAAATCGATATTATTGATTCGAAAACTAACATCTAAAGGTCATGTAGTAGTAGCGCCACCTCCTGTCTGGTTGATGAAAATAGCAGGTAATTTCATACCCCTTTTTAAATGATCAACTGAGGAAAATAATGTATTGTGAAAGTAATTACAGGAGAATTAATAAGGGAAATGCATGCTTCGAATAAATTAAAGATACATATATGAAGACATATGTATAAAGAGAAATATATGAAGTTATGATTCATTCTAAAGATTACGTAAGTCATCTGGGAACGTGGCTGGTCAGCTGATGAAAGGGGAGCAGTGGAAATTATAGTATCTTGCCAACAATTGTTCTTGGCCTCGGTTCCTCGAGGACAAATTGATATTGATTAGATTGTGTAAATGTCAAGACCCATGTGCGCATGTGTAAACCTGAGAATTTATGCTATAAATGCTGGAGCAAATCGGACTTCCAATGTGTGTCAGATATTGTTTTCTGAACACCCTGTCAAGCTTGATAGAATTAAAGGCCTGGAATCAGTTGCTGTCTCCTTTCTCTTCCTTCCTGATTGTGCTCATCTGATCTCGGGTAACGAATCTTCCGCAACACTATGGTTTTTGTTTTTTAAAATACTTTTTATTAGTGAATTTTTACAACATTAAAATCGGGGTGTGTGGAAATAGGGAGTACGAGGGGAGGGAGGGAGAGGAGAAGGAAGGGTTCTATGTTCTATGGTTAATGGTTTAATTTATAGTTACGTTACCATATTCGTTATTACGCTTTGGTTCTGTATCTATGTTAGCAAAGGAAAGGAAAGGGCCTGAGGCTGTGAGGAAGCATGGGAGTTGGAGTCCACAATCCCCACTATAATGAGCCCTCCTCCACAAATGACCTGCTTCCCTTTTATCTCGCCCGAGTTTTTAATTAATTTTTAATTAGTTCTTCTTTTAATCATTACATGTAGCCCGCCCATTGTCTTGTGTTTGTGCTTATTGTAATTTTATATTGTTATGCATTCACCTGTCTTATGTAATTATGATGTTGTTATTGTTTGCGTTTTCGGTTTGCGTAATTGTTGTCCGGGCTTGGCCTCATGTAAGCCGCTCCAAGTCCCCATCAGGGAGATGGTGGCAGGGCATAAAGTTTATGATGATGATGATTATTATTATTATTACTTGGAGTCCAAAACACACCTGGAGGAGGGCCCAAGTTGGCCCAGGCCTGATCTATAGTCAAGTGTTGACACTTCTTTACTTCCCACAGTCAGGAGGGGGATTGTGTTGGTGGGCGTTGGTAGCCCCTCCCTGTTGTGAACCCCTCCTCTTCTGCCCCCCTCCCCCTGCAGAGCAGCCCTGGCCTCCGCCCACCAGGGCCAGCCCTTGCCAAAGACCCTGAGCGTCCTGGAGAGCACCCCGCAGGTCCGGGGGATGCACACCATCATCAGGTAGGAAGCGGCAGGGCTGGGCTGGGTGGGGAGAGAGAGGCGGTCAACCGGGCAGCCGTCTCGGGGGTGTGGTGGGGGGGCAGCAACTCTGAGGAAGCCATGTGTGTCCTTTGGGTGCCCCCTCCCTCTGCCTGCCCCACAGGAACAAGGACACCAGTCGGGACGAGTTCATCTTCTACTCCAAGCGCCTGATGCGCCTCCTGATTGAGCACGCCCTCTCCTTCCTGCCCCTCAAGGTCAGCGCTGACCACTTCATATTTGGAGGGGAGGGGGGAATATTGGGGAGCAGAAGTAGTGCCTCCTCCTCCCCCCACCCTGAGCCTTTCCCCCTCTTTCCCTCCCTCTCTCGTCCCTTTGCAGCCAGTGACCGTGGAAACGCCACAGGGGACAGTCTACGAGGGGAAGCGCTTCCACCGGCAACGGGTGAGCAGAGCCGGGTTCCCCAAAGGCCCCATGTGAAGGGGGGGCTTCCCTGGACTGCGCACAGGCCCCTCTTAATAATAATAATAATAATAATAATAATAATGATAATGATAATCTGCGCGCATCATTTGAAAATACATCAACAGTCCTAGACACTTGGGAAGTGTTCCACTTGTGATTTTGTGATACAAAATCCAGCATAGAGATCTAATTTGCTGTGACATAGTGTGGTTTTGTGTCAATAATAATAATAATAATAATAATAATAATAATTTTATTTATTTTCCGCTCCAGAGGGACTCAGGGCGGATTCCAAACATAAAAGGCAAACATTCAATGCCCGAATACAATATATCCATACTAACAAAATTTATACAACCCAACATGCCTCAAGTCTTCTGTTCCTGCCACCCAGGTCACTTGGCTTGGGGTGTCCAAGGCGATCCTGGCTTGGGGTGGGACCCTTTGCAATGGGACTCGCCTGAGCCACACAGAGCGGATACTGAAAAAGAAAATGGGTTCCTTAGAACTAGGAGCCCCTGGTGGCACAGTGGGTTAAACTGCTGAGCTGCTGAACTTGCTGACCGAAAGGTCACAGGTTTGAATCCGGGGAGTGGCGTGAGCTCCCACTGTTAGCCCCAGCTTCAAACTACAAGAGAGGAGATTCCATTTGAACATGAGGAAGAACTTCCTGACTGTGAGAGCCGTTCAGCAGTGGAACTCTCTGCCCCGGAGGGAGTGTGGTGGAGATTCCATCTTTGGAAGTTTTTAAACAGAGGCTGGATGGCCATCTGTCAGGGGTGATTTGAATGCAATTTTCCTGCTTCTTGGCAGAGTGAGGTTGGACTGGATGATGGCCCATAAGGTTGCTTCCAACTCTAGGATTCTAGGATTCTGCCAACTCAGCAGTTCAGAAACATGCAAATGTGAGATCAATAGATCTCCGGCAGGAAGGTAACGGCGCTCCATGCAGTCGTGCTGGCCACATGACCTTGGAGGTGTCTATGGACAATGCCAGCTCTTCGGCTTAGAAATGGAGATGAGCCCCAGAGTCCCAGAGTCAGACATGATTGGACTGATTGGCTTCTTGTAAGCCGCACCGGGTCCTGCGGGAGATGGTAGCGGGGTATAAATAAAGGTTTATTATTATTATTATTGTGTATTATTATGATGTCAGGGAAAAAAACCTTTACCTTTACCTAGAACTAGGAAGACCAGTGTTTACTAATTGCATCCCTGGGATGGACGGGTGGGCAGGTGAGCTGTGTGGCTAAGACCCTCCCTCTGCCGCCGGTCAGATCACGGGCGTCTCCATCCTGCGCGCTGGGGAGACCATGGAGCAGGCCCTGACCGCCGTCTGCAAGGACATCCGCCTGGGCAAGATCCTCATCCAGACCAACCATGACACTGGAGAGCCAGAGGTGAGAGTCGAGGGGGGCTTGTGTGTGTGTGGGGGGGGGGCTTTGAGGGCAAGGAAGAGAACAAGTTGACCTCTTCCTCCCTCCTTTTCCTCCCCTCCCTCCTGCCAGCTGCACTACCTCCGGCTGCCCAAGGAGATTGGCGAGGACTATGTCATTCTGATGGACAGCACGGTCTCCACGGGGGCCGCCGCCATGATGGCTATTCGGGTGCTGCTGGTGCGTTGAGGCCCCTTCCTGGGCTGGGTCTGGGTCTGGGCCTGGGCAAGGGGCAGTGAGGGCTTGACCTTTGGGCTGACGGGGCACTGGGAGGAGGCTGCTGCCCCCCCCCCCTCGGGTGTCCTGGCATCTCACAGGGGCGTTGTCCCCTTGGCAGGACCACGAGGTGCAAGAGGACAAGATCTTCCTGCTCTCCCTGCTGATGGCGGAGATGGGGGTGCACTCGGTGGCCTACGCCTTCCCCCGCGTGCGCATCATCACCACCGCCGTGGACAAGAGGGTCAACGAGGAGTTCCACATCGTTCCCGGCATTGGTGAGTCTGGGGGGGAAGGCGCCGCTGGGACTCTGAATAATTATCTTGTCATTGACCATCATCCCAAGAAATTAAATGCCAGCCCCAATCACATTATGTATTTCATAGAATCCTAGAATCCCAGCCATTGGTTTTTAATTTCTTGCATGTTATTGTCTACCTGTGGGTTATACTAACTGTATAGCCATGGCTTCAAACTACAAGAGAGGATATTCCACCTGAACACGAGGAAGAACTTCCTGACGGTGAGAGCCGTTCAGCAGTGGAACTCTCTGCCCCGGAGTGTGGTGGAGGCTCCTTCTTTGGAGACTTTGAAACAGAGGCTGGATGGTCATCTATCAGGGGTGCTTTGAATGCAATATTCCTGCTTCTTGGCAGAATGGGGTTGGACTGGATGATGGCCCAGGAGGTCTCTCCCAACTCTTTGATTCTATGATTCTATTGTTTATTTTTGTTTATTGCTTGTTGTTTTTATTATTGCTTGTTGTTTTTGATGTGTTGTTGGGCCTGGCCTCATGTAAGCCGCTCCGAGTCCCTTGGGGAGATGGTGGCGGGGTACAAATAAAATATTATTATTATTATTATTATTATTATTATTAGAATACTAGAGTTGGAAGAGACCTCCTGGGCCATCATCCAGTCCAACCCCATTCTGCCAAGAAGCAGGAAAATTGCATTCAAAGCACCCCTGACAGATGGCCATCCAGCCTCTGTTTAAAAGCCTCCAAAGAAGGAGCCTCCACCACACTCCCTCCGGGGCAGAGAGTTCCACTGCTGAACAGCTCTCACAGTCAGGAAGTTCTTCCTCATGTTCAGATGGAATCTCCTTTCTTGTAGTTTGAAGCCATGGCTCCCTGCAGATAGCCAGCCAGCCTCTGTTTCAAAGCCTCCAAGGAAGGAGCCTCCACCACACTCCGGGGCAGAGAGTTCCACTGCTGAACAGCTCTCTCTCACAGTCAGGAAGTTCTTCCTCATGTTCAGATGGAATCTCATTTCTTGTAGTTTGAGGCCATGGCTCCCTTGTGCAGATGGCCATTGAGCCTCTGTTCCAAAGCTTCCAAAGAAGGAGCCTCCACCACAATCCAGGGCAGAGAGTTCCACTGCTGAACGGCTCTCCCAGTCAGGAAGTTCTTCCTCATGTTCAGGTGGAATCTCCTCTCTTGTAGTTTGAAGCCATGGTTCCCTTGCGTCCGATGGCCATCTGGCCTCTGTTTCAAAGCTTCCAAAGAAGGAGCCTCCACCACACTCCGGGGCAGAGAGTTCCACTGCTGAACAGCTCTCATAGTCAGAAAGTTCTTCCTAATGTTGAGATGGAATCTCCTTTCTTGTAGTTTAAAGCCACTCTTCCATTGCGCCCTAATAATAATAATAATAATATTTATTTATTATTTATTTATTTACTTTGCTTCTATACCGCTGTATCTCAAGCCCGAAGGCGACTCACGGCGGTTCACAAACAGTAAAAACAGTAGAAACAGCAGTGGTTCCATACAACATATAACAATTGACTTAACACATTATCCATAAATTACCAATAAGCAATTACAATGCACAATTATTATGAAAAACAACTGTACCCAATCTTCTCATCATCCAAGCGTAGTCCAGGTTCGTCGTCCATTGTTCCATTCCTATGTTCCATTACCAGATTGCACTAAATTACTCAAACGCCTGCACAAACATCCAGGTCTTCACCTTTTTGCGGAATACCATTAGAGATATATACTGCTCCATCTCCCCGAGGGGACTCAGAGCATTTCCCAGATAACATCACAAAACATACAAAGTAAAAACAACATAACCATAAGTTTAACAAAACAAAATATAAGCATAAAAATTGTCGCCATAAGACACATATATTAAAAGTGTCCTAGTCTCCAGGGCAGCAGAAAGGAAGTTCAGTCCCTCCCTCCTTTATTTATTTATTTATATTTATTTATTTATTTATTTACTTCTTTTGTATACCGCAAATATCAGCCTAAAAAGGCGACTTAGAATTGCAAAACAAAGCAAATGTCCTTCCGCATTCTAATCATTATTACACAACCTCGGTGTGAAACCTGTTGGGCGAGTGGGCTTGTTGACAAAAGACTCTCTCTATGAATACATAGCAGAGGAACTTCTTAGCAGCAGCATGAACCCGCACGAGTTGCCCAGAGGGATGCAGAGAACACAAACACACAGACCAATGTGATCTCTTCCATAGAGGGCTTTTTTTTGTGGAGTAAAATAATATAGTTGCACTATTTACAGGAATAGCTTGACTCTGAAGGAGCTGGGGGAGGTGACGGCCAACAGGGAGCTCTGGCGTGGGCTGGTCCATGAGGTCATGAAGAGTCGGAAACAACTGAATGAATGAACAACAACAAACCACTATGCGTATGATACAAGAATACTACAAATAAACTGAGTTACTGGTTCAGTTAAAGTAAACTCTCCCCAAAGGGGACTCGGAGCAGCTTACATGAGGCCAGGCCCAGCGATACATTACAGCAACATAAAATATAAACAACAAAATAACATCACAGTAAAATAAATAAACCATCAAGTAAAATAAACAGTACAAAATAACATAATGGAAAATCAAGCACAGTGGGCGGGCCAAATGCACGACATAAAATGATAAAACTCTGGATGAGATAGCAATGAAAAGGGACACAAATATAAACACACACATAGTAGCTTTACACACAGCAGCCTTCACACTGGAGCTTTCTCACAGGAGGCTTCTCTCACACAGAGGTTTGCCTCACTCCTCAGGATGACACTAGCTTTGGCCCACTGACTCTTAATAGGCTTCGGCCTTCTCACTCAGTGCTTGACTCACACTTTTGTAATCAAAAATACCCAGTTAATTTTTCATGTTTCTGACAAAACCACAGAGTTCAATATAGTCACAGATCTGGGTAAAAAAAGCTCATTCTCAGCCTATTGGTTCTTGTTAATAATAATAATAATAGTAATAATAATAATAATAATATTGATATACTGCTCTATCTCCCCGAGGGGACTCAGAGCGGTTTCCAAGTAACATCATCAATACATACAAATAAACAACATAAACATAAAATTAACAAGACAATATAAGCATTAAAAATCACAATAGCACATATATTTAAAATAATCCTGCCTGTTCAAGGCAATTTAAAAGGCCAGGCCGAGGCTAGTGCAATTTTAGAGGGCCCGGGAAAAGGTAGAGTCTATGGCTGTTCATTTCCAGGGTCTGATAGGAGGAAGTGAGCTGGGTAATTGGTAGAAAAAAGATATGGCCGTATTCAAGAGTATCTGGGACTGAGCTAGAACTAGTTGTTCTCAAAGGCTTGTTGAAACCCCCAGGTCTTCAGGCTCTTACAAAAGGAGGGGAGGGATGGGGCCTGTCTTATTCCTCTAGGAATCATAGAATCATAGTTGGAAGAGACCTCATGGGCCATCCAGTCCAACCCCATTCTGCCAAGAAGCAGGAATATTGCATTCAAATCACCCCTGACAGATGGCCATCCAGCCTCTGTTTCAAAGCCTCCAAAGAAGGAGCCTCCACCACACTCCGGGGCAGAGAGTTCCACTGCTGAACAGCTCTCACAGTCAGGAAGTTCTTCCTCATGTTCAGGTGGAATCTCCTCTCTTGTAGTTTGAAGCTATTGTTCCACGTCCTAGTCTCCAGGGAAGCAGAGAACACACTTGCTCCCTCCTCTTCCCTGTGGCTTCCTCTCACAGATTTATACATGGCCCTCATCATGTCTCCTCTCAGCCTTCTCTTCTTCAGGCTAAACATGCCCAGCTCTTTAAGCCGCTCCTCATAGGGCTTGTTCTCCAGACCCTTGATCATTTTAGTCACCTCCTCTGAGCACATTCCAGCTTGTCAACATCTCCCTTCAGTTGTGGTGCCCAAAATTGGACACAATATTCCAGATGGGGTCTAACTAATAGAGGGGTAGCATTACTTCCTTAGATCTAGACACTAGGCTCCTATTGATGCAGGCGTTCCTGTGCTGTTTTGCTTTTAAAAAACAGCCTCAACACAAAATGGAAAGTAAAAGAAAAATACTCTATTCCAGCAAACAAAACAAGCAAATGCAATTGGAAAAGAAAACAAGGAAGTCTTACTACAGACACCAATGAAAGCCTTTTGCAAAAGTCCCAGCAAAATCAGCAGACAAGAAGGCACAGATCACAAAGCAGGTTCCGGCAGTAACAGAGTTGTTGTTAGCAGCGAAAAGCTACGTTCTCCTGCTTCCAATTTATACCCCAAGCAGGAGGGCTTTGGGCGTCACCCAATTAGCTCATCCATCTTTTAGCAGCTAATCTAGCTGTTCCCTGACTCCCTCTGTCTTTCTACAAAAGTAGGCACCTGCAAAGCCTCATTGTCGGATTCTTCTTCCTCTCCCTCCAAGACCTGAGCAGCTCCCTGCTCCCCTTCTGCTTCCGACGATGAGGAATCTCCAAAAGTTCTAGAGGCGGGGGGCCACCTCCGAGAAGGCCCTCTCTCTCGTCCCCACCAACCGTGATTGTGACGGAAGCGGGAGCGAAAGGAGGGCCTTCCCGGAAGCCCTCCCCATGGTTGTTCCAGTGTGCCTTTCCAGAATAATGAATTTCTAAGCAATATGCCCTCAAAATGCATTTTATTATTCATTTAGGATTGATTGATTTGCACGTCTTATCCCCTCTGAAAATTTCCATCCCAGTTATCTCCTGCCTAGCTCATGCCCAGCATTATTTTTAAAATTTTAATTTTACATTTGGCCCAGCCTTAGGTTTTAAATGCTTGTTGTGTTACCGTACTGCTTATATTTTATTTATTTTTGTTTATGAGATGTATTTTAACTGTTTTGTATTGTTTGTTTGCTATTGTTTTATTATTGATGTGTTGTGGGCTCGGCCTCATGTAAGCCGCACCGAGTCCCTTGGGGAGATGGTAGCGGGGTATAAATAAAGTTTTATTATTATTATCTTAAAGTATCATCCTATGCCATGGAGCCCCCGTGGCACAGTGGGTTAAACCCTTGTGCCGGCAGGACTGCTGACCAAAAGGGGAGTGGGGTGAGCTCCTGTCTGTCCTATACCATCTGCCAGATGGTAACAAATAAAAAAAATGAATATCCAGAGTGAGATGGATCCTTGATAATATTCTGGGAATGATGGAAGTCCTTCCAAAGAGGGGACGGAGAGGGCAACCCATCATTCTCTGGGCAGCCGGTCACCCTGTGGAGCGCCTTCCTTATTGTTATTCCTATATGATTCTGTGCAATTAGCAAACACTATGCAGATGCAAACCATAATGCAGGGTGTATGTGTGTGTGTGGGGGGGGGGGGGGGGGGCTGGCCCCGGTCACACTCAGGCCCCCGAGGAAGACCTGGGCTTCACCTGGGACTAACGCGGCTCCTGTCTTTCCTCCCAGGTAACTTTGGGGACAGATACTTTGGCACCGACAGCACCTTGCCCTGGTACGACAGCGAGAGCATGGACTGCTGACTTGGCCCCGCTGGGAGGGGCCTCCTTCTTGGCCGGACATGGGGGGCTGTGGTGATGCGGGGGAGGGGGTGTCCCCCAGGCCAAGCCTCCCCAGCCCCAGGGCCACGGAGAGATGGATGGACGGACCCCTCCTGCTGTGCACGTGTCCTGCCAGGGGCCGGGAGGAAGTGCGCCTGTCCCTCCTCAAAGCCACTCCTGGTATTTATGGGTATTTATGGGGAGGGGGCTCCTCTGGTGGTGCTCTGGAGGGAGGGAGCAGCCCCCCTGGGGTCCCTCTCACTCCGTGGGGCTCTGGGCTTCCCTCCGGCCGAGCCATTCCTGGGAGGGGCTTCCCTCCAGACATCCAGAGAGACGGACACTCGGCCCTGCCCGTGGTTGGGTTTTGGGGGTCCTCTTGCTGCCTCCGCCCTTGGGGAGCAAGGCCCTCCTCCCGGCCTCTTTCTCAGTACTGTACTCACCCGCCTTCCCTGCTTTTGTACGAAGAAATAAATTCCCAACCGCGCCTCCCCCGGACTCCATCTCTGCAGGACACACCGCTCTGGTTTGCGCACTCCGCCCGTCTCTGTGTGTGCAAGGGTCTCACCACTGATATTTCCCTCTGTCCTGGGTGGACTTCAGCACACCTCCTGGCCCTTTTGTGGAGAGAGTCAGTGTTGGGGAAGGGGGGGGGGCATTTATTTATTTATTTATTTATTTGCAGTATTTATATTCTGCCCTTCTCACCCCGCAGGGGACTCAGGGCGGATTACAATGGCCTCCTCTGGCTTGCATATTCTGCCCTTGCATGCTGTCCTTGCAACTGGGCTGGGGGTGGAGTGGGGGTCTTTGGGCTGCAGCAAATGGAGCAGGCCTGGGCACACTTCAGACCTCCCTCCAGGTGTTTTGGACTGCAACTCCCACCATTCCTCACAGGCTCAGGCCCCTTCCTTTTCCCTTTCCCTTTCCTTTCTGTTTAAGCAGCTGAGGAGGAAATGAAAGGGGCCTGGGGGGTGAGCAATGGTGGGAGTTGCACCCCAAACACCTGGAGGGAGGGAGGGAGGGAAGGCCCAAGTTTGCCCATGCCAGGACTGGAGACTTAGACGTACAATCAAGTGGCAGACTCCCAGGGGCAGAGGCCTTTGTGGGGAGGGACATGGAAGCACAGGCATCTCCTTAAAGGCTGCCTACCTTGAAGAGACACCCCCTCACCCCTGTCCTGGGCAGCAAACAGGAGCAGGACTGGACTCTCCTGGTCAAGAGGAAAAGCGGGGTCTAAATAAACATCGAAGGCTTTCATGGTCAAAATCAATTGGTTGCTGTGAATTTTCTGAGCTGTATGGCCACGTTCCCTCAGATCCCTCAACCTCTGAGGATGGCTCCCAGAGATGTGGGCTAAATGTCAGGAGAGAATGCTTCTGGAACAGATCCAGGCAGCCCAGAAAACTCTCAGCAACCCATAATGTCCTTTTCAATTATCTGCACGGAGGCCAGAAGCGGGTGCTAGAGAGAGAAGGATAGTCCATTGTGCAGGTGGGGAGGGTGAGTTGAAAGAGAAATCATTTCCCCCCTTTGGTTATTCCCCTCACCTGTGTCCCCCATCCCAGAAACAACACTCCTTTATTGGGTTGTAGGTTTTTTCAGGCTATATGGCCATGTTCTAGAGGCATTCTCTCCTGACGTTTCGCCTGCATCTATGGCAAGCACCCTCAAAGGTAGTGAGGTGTCACCCCACTCCCTCTGAGGATGCTTGCCGTAGATGTAGGCAAAACATCAGGAGAGAATGCCTCTAGAACATGGCCATATAGCCCGAAAAAACCTACAACAACACTCCTTTATGATATGGGAAAAGGTGGGAGGGATCACCAGCAAAAACTAGGGAAACCATAGAGTTGGAAGAGACCCGGTGGGCCATCCAGTCCAACCCCATTCAGCCGAGAAGAAGGAAAACCGCATTCAAAGCACCCCGACAGATGAGCATTCAGCCTCTGCTTCAAAGCCTCTAAACAAGGAGCTTCCTCCACACTCCAGGGCAGAGAGTTCCACTGCTGAACAGCTCTGACAGTCAGAAAGTTCAGGTGGAATCTCCCTTCCTGTAGTTTGAAGCCATTGTTCCATTGCATCCTAGTCTCCAGGGAAGCAGAGAGGAAGCTTGCTCCTCCTCCCTAGGATTTCCCTTGGCCTTTTGATCCATGGCCCTCATCATGTCTCCTCTCATCCTTCTCTTCTTCAAGCTAAACATGCCCAGCTCTTTAAGCCACTCCTCATAGGGCTTATTCTCCAGACCTGGATCATTTTAGTTGCACTCCTCTGGACACATTCCAGCTTAGTTTAGAGTCCACGTCTCCCTTCAATTGTGGTGCCCAGAATTGGACCCAGTGGGATTCCAGGTGTGGTCTAACCAAAGCGGAACAGAGCATGGGGAGCATGACTTCCCTAGATCTAGACACTAGGCTCCTCTTGATGCCTGAGGCCAAAACCCCATTGGCTTTTTTTTTGCCACCACATCACATTGTTTGTTCATGTTTAACTTGTTGTCCACGAGGACTCCAAGATCTTTTCCCCACACCCTGCTTTCGAGCCAGGCCTCATCGTCCCCCATTCTGTCTCTTTGCATTTCCTTTTTTCCGCCTAAGTGGATTATCTTGTATTTGTCTCCATTGGACTTCATTGTGTCAGTTTTGGCCCATCATCTCTCTCATCTGTGAAGATGATGATAATAATAATAATAATAATAATAATAATAATAATAATAATAATCTTTATTTATACCCCGCCACCATCTCCCCAATGGGGACTCGCAGCGGCTTACATGGTAACATATTACAGCAAAAATAAAACCAAAACATAAACAACAAGCAACATCATCAAAATTACAAAAAATACATTTAAAAGATCCCATTGAATTCTGTTCCTGTCTTCTGGAGTATTGACTATCCTTCCCAGTTTGGTTTGTTGTTGTTCATTCATTCAGTCATCTCCGACTCTTCGTGACCTCACGGACCAGCCCACGCCAGAGCTCCCTGTCGGCCGTCACCACCCCCAGCTCCTTCAAGGTTTGGTATCCCAGTTTGGTATCATCTGCAAACTTGATGATCCTGCCTTCTAACCCTCTTCAAAAATGGTTTTCCTCCTTCAAACCCCCCAACCTTCCATTTAATGAAGTATCCTCCTCTCTCTCTGACGCCCAGGTAATGGAACAGTTCCAAACATCAGAATAATAATTATGGGAGTTGCAGTCCTACCTGTGGGCATCCGCATTAGCAATGCACTGGTTTGCCAATGAGACTAAGGGCAGGCCTGGGCCAACTTTGGCCCTCCCTCCAGGTGTTTTGGACTGCAACTCCCACCATTCCTACTAAGAAGAACGAATTGGGATAATCTCCATGAATATCTGGACAATTTGGGAAAATAAGAAACAAGAGACAATTTCTTTTTGAACTTATTTTATATTTTTGAATAATAAGAAGATATGATCCAAGAAGATGGAATGGAAGTCATTTTTTTTTCTTTTTTTGTGTATTTTTGTAGAATTTTTTTTTAGGGGTTATTTGGGATTTTAGTATATTTTTTTGTTTCTTCTTTTTTCTCTTTTTTTATTTCCTCACTTTCCTATACTTTATTGTTCTCTTTCGTTGTAATCTATATAAAAATTAATAAAATTCTAATTAAAATAATAATAAAAAAGGAATGGTGGGAGTTGCAGTCCAAAACACCTGGAGAGAGGGCCAAAGTTGGCCCAGGCCTGGTCTATGGATTGTCCCATTCACCCCATTGAGCCTATTGCTCTGGGACCCAAACCTGCAATGGGGGTGTGTACTGTTGTCCCATTCACACCATTGAGCCTATTGCTCTGGGGTTAGGTGTGTACAATGGGGGTGTGTACTGGAAATTTCCCCCCTCCCTCCAAAAAAAAGGAAGAGGGCGTGTCTTCCCATTGGGCTCCGCCTCCAGGGCAGGAGGCTTATTGTTTTGTTTTGGTTTTGGGTTTTTTTTGGCCATAATGTTAATTATTCAAAATGTTTAGATCCTGTCCTGTAGCCAAATTTCCCCCAGACTGTCTTACAAATAACTTGCCTCACCCTTAATCCACACACCAAGCTACAGTGGAGTAGTTTCCCCACTACCTCACATTAACTAATATGGCATTATAATMTGGATCTTGTATTTATGTCAGAATATAATTCTACTAATAATGACTCACTTCTAACAGGAGGATCCCATGGCCTTCCATTCACTTCTCAGGAAAGAAAAACTTTATAGTTTTCATACTACATCGCTTATATTTGACTTCTGGAGATGCTGGTTGGGGCACCTGGGCCACAACTTGCACACTTTTGGTATCTATTCTTGTTGTGTGGTCTATGTTGTTCCTGACTTATGGTGAACCTAATGTGAACCTGTAATGGGGTTTGCTTTACAGAATTTGTTCAGATTTTCTGCCTTTCTTGGACAAATTGTGCCTTACCCAAGGCTGAGTAGGATTTGTCCAATCCTACAGCAGGCTTTCTAAAACTGTTCACTGGCAATGTGATGCAGGATGCATCATTGCTTTCCCAAGAGTTGCTACTTTCAATGGGGAAACCATGAGATTTTCTGGCAAGCTACGAGTCTTTTGCTCTGTGTAAACTTGACTCTTTTTTTAAATAAGCAATGCATGGAAGTGGAAGAAGACAACAGAATAGGAAGGACAAGAGACCTCTTCCAGAAAATTAGAAACATTGGAGGTAAATTTCAGGCAAAAATTGGTATGATAAGAAACAAAGATGGCAGGGACCTAACAGAAGCTGAAGAGATCAAGAGAAGGTGGCGAGACTATACAGAAGATCTGTATAGGAAGGATAATAATATCGAGGATAGTTTTGACGGTGTGGTGAATGAATTAGAACCAGACATCCTGAGGAGTGAGGTTGAATGGGCCTTAAGAAGCATTGCTAACAACAAGGCAGCAGGAGACGACGGGATCCCAGCTGAACGGTTTAAAATCTTAAAAGATGATGCTGTCAAGGTGATGCATGCCATATGCCAGCAAATATGGAAAACACAAGAATGGCCATCAGACTGGAAAAAATCAACTTATATCCCCATACCAAAAAAGGGAAATGCAAAAGACTGCTCAAACTTCCGTACAGTGGCCCTTATTTCTCATGCCAGTAAGGTAATGCTCAAGATCCTGCAAGGAAGACTCCAGCAATACATGGAGCGAGAGTTGCCAGATGTTCAAGCTGGGTTTAGAAAAGGCAGAGGAACGAGAGACCCGATTGCCAATATCCGCTGGATAATGGAGAAAGGCAGGGAGTTTCAGAAAAACATCTACTTCTATTGACTATTCTAAAGCCTTTGACTGTGTGGATCATAATAAATTGTGGCAAGTTCTTGGTGGGATGGGCATACCAAGCCACCTTGTCTCTCTCCTGAGGAATCTGTACAAGGACCAAGTAGCAAACAGTCAGAACTGACCACGGAACAACAGACTGGTTCAAGATTGGGAAAGGCGTACGGCAAGGCTGCATACTCTCACCCAACCTTTTTAACTTGTATGCAGAACACATCATGCGATGTGCGGGGCTGGATGAAGGCAAAGCTGGGGTGAAAATTGCTGGAAGAAACATTAACAACCTCAGATATGCAGATGACACCACTCTGATGGCCGAAAGCGAGGAGGAGCTGAGGAGCCTTCTAATCAAGGTGAAAGAAGAAAGCGCAAAAGCTGGTTGCAGCTAAACGTCAAAAAAACCAAGATTATGGCAACAAGAATGATTGACAACTGGGAAACAGAGGGAGAGAACCGTGGAGGCCGTGACAGACTTTGTATTTCTAGGTGCAAAGATTACTGCAGATGCAGACTGTGGCCAGGAAATCAGAAGACGCTTCTTCTTGGGAGGAGAGCAATGTCCAGTCTCGATAAAATAGTAAAGAGTAGAGACATCACACTGGCAACAAAGATCCGTATAGTCAAAGCCATGGTATTCCCTGTAGTCACCTACGGATGTGAGAGCTGGACCTTAGGGAAGGCTGAGCGAAGGAAAAGAGATGCTTTTGAGCTGTGGTGTTGGAGGAAAGTTCTGAGAGTGCCTTGGACTGCGAAGAAGATCCAACCAGTCCATCCTCCAGGAAATAAAGCCCGACTGCTCACTGGAGGGAAGGAGACTAGAGACAAAGATGAAGTACTTTGGCCACATCATGAGGAGACAGCAAAGCCTAGAGAAGACAATTATGCTGGGGAAAGTGGAAGGCAAAAGGAAGAGGGGCCGACCAAGGGCAAGATGGATGGATGGCATCCTTGAAGTGACTGGACTGACCTTGAAGGAGCTGGGGGTGGTGACGGCCGACAGGGAGCTCTGGCGTGGGCTGGTCCATGAGGTCATGAAGAGTCGGAGACGACTGAACGAATGAACAACAACAACAAAAAACTTGACTCACCCTTAATCCACACACCAAACTACAGTTTGGTTTTTTTGGAGGAAGGGGGGATGATTTCCAGTACACACCCCCATTGTACACACCTAACCCCAGAGAAATAGGCTCAATGGTGTGAATGGGACAACAAGGGTCTGGAGAACAAGCCCTATGAGGAGCGGCTTGGGGAGCTGGGCATGTTTAGCCTGAAGAAGAGAAGGCTGAGAGGAGACATGATAGCCATGTATAAATATGTGACAGGAAGTCACAGGGAGGAGGGAGGAGGGAGCAAGCTTGTTTTCTGCTTCCCTGGAGACTAGGACGCAATGGAACAATGGCTTCAAACTACAAGAGAGGAGATTCCATCTGAACATGAGGAAGAACTTCCTGACTGTGAGAGCCGTTCAGCAGTGGAACTCTCTGCCTCGGAGTGGTGGAGGCTCCTTCTTTGGTGACTTTGAAGCAGAGCCTGGATGGCTATCTGTCAGGGGTGATTTGAATGCAATTTTCCTGCTTCCTGGCAGAATGGGGTTGGACTGGATGGCCCATGAGGTCTCTTCCAACTCTTTGATTCTATGATTCTATGAAACACAAGGCCTCCAGATTGCAAGAAATGGCACTATTTCATATACTTCCACTAGTGGAGTTGGATTTAGAAGGGGAAAAAAAAAAAGAATTGCACACATCTTTTCCCTTCTGCTTTACTCGTGGCAGTAGCTCTTGCTATCTTTAACTAACACTTTTGATAGTTTCTTCTCACACTAAATACGTCATTACAGTTGAAAGGTCTATATCTGACTGTGAGAGCCGTTCAGCAGTGGAACTCTCTGCCCTGGAGGGAGTGTGGTGGAGGCTCCTTCTTTGGAAGCTTTGAAACAGAGGCTGGATGGCCATCTGTCAGGGGTGATTTGAATGCAATATCCCTGCTTCTTGGCAGAATGGGGTTGGACTGGATGGCCCAGGAGGTCTCTTCCAACTCTTTGATTCTAGGATTCTATGACTTCTAGTGGAGGGCCATCATGGTCAAGTGCCTTAGGCAGGAGGCTGATTGTTGACATTCTTATCCTCCACTGCCTGCCATTCCCCCTCCGGCCGCGTGGCGTCGCCATAACCCTCGGCAGGGAATGCGGAAGCGGGGGCCGCTTTGCTGCCTTCTTCCCTTCCTTAGTCCTCATTGCGCATGCTCTTGGAGCCTAAGTCCCTCACTGCGCATGCCTGGTAGCTGGGTTGGGCCTGGGCCGCTCCTTCTGCGCGTGCGCACTCACTCACTGAGGCAGAGGAGTCGAGTGGAAGCAGGCCCGGGCCCTTCTCCCTTCCTTCTTCCCTTCTTCAGGGCGCGATGGCGGAGGGCGGTCGGCCCCAGCGGAAGATGTCCCGCGCCGGAGAGAGCCTCTACCGGGTGCTGGGCGTGGAGAAGGGCGCCTCCTCGGAAGACCTCAAGCGGGCCTACCGGTGGGTCAGGCGCGCCGCACTCGAGGGCAGGCCGCGGCCTACCTGGGCCCTCACTCACTCACTCGGGATGTTTGGGACTCCAACTCCCACAATTCCGGGAGGCTGCTAGGAATTGTGGGAGTTGGAGTCCAAAACACTTGGAGGGAGGACCCAAGCTGGCCCAGGCCTGCTCTAGGATTGACGTTCCTGTGCAGAGTGTAATGATGTATTGTTTTGTTGGGTTGT